GAGCCGCTCAGACCCCCACATACCGGTGGTAAGGCAAGGCAAATTTATTTGTATAGCACAATTCAGTACAAAGACAAATGCAAAGTGCTTTACATGATTAAAATATATGGAAAAAAACAGATCAAAGCAAGTAGGAAAACATTAAAAAATAAAATAAAAAATGAACAATGGCAGCCCACTGCTCCCCAAGGGGATGGGTTAAATGCAGAGAGGGAATTTCGTTGCTCAGTACTTGTGACAGTGGAATGACAATAAAAGCTGGCAAAAAGAAATGTAAAGCAGCTGCATCTACATGGTGGTGGAAGCATCATGTTGTGGGGATTCCTCCCTTCGTCTTCATAGGTGTGTTGGTCTGTTTTCTTCCCAGCATGGCTGTGCTTTTCACGTGGATGAGGTCCAGACCGGCGGCGGCTGCACAGGAAAGTTCTGGGCCCATGAGTACTGGGGGATGGACGACCCCGCTGACATCGTGTCCTTCAGTAAGAAGCTGCTGACCGGCGGATACTACCAGAAGGAGGAGCTCCAGGCCGATAAGGTTGGTCCCGTTCTCTGTAACAGAGCAGAACGATGTTTTACTTCTGGTTATGATGCAAACATCAGCATGAAAGGATTCTGCAATAATGGAAATGGAAGGTTAAAGTCATGTAAGACGAAGCTCAGGTGTCATCAGATCATCGTAGCTCCAAGATGGAGCCGAAAGACTGGATTCAGTTCAATTCAGTTTATTTTTATTCACATCATGTCGTCTCAAACACTTTATAGTTCCCCAGATCATCCAGTCAGATTGATTCATAGTTTTCTATCTAAGGCGGGGGTCAGCAACCCGCATGCTGCTCTTTAATGTTCCGCTTGCGGCTCTCTGGAGCTTTTACAAAAATGTATGAAAATCTTTCCTTTTTTGTTGTTGTTGTTTGTTTTAATATGGTGTGCAAAAAATGAATTATGTTTTCCAATGCTGTAAAGATTCATATAATAAATAAATTTAAACAATAATATGCATCATAGCTATAGAGATCAGTGGTCATAACTGGAAACCAGCGCAGCGCGGCCAGGCTATCAAAGCTGCAGGTGTGTCTCGGAACATGGATCCCAAAGGGATAAAAGNGGGGGGGGCTGAGACACACTTAATATTATCAGCGTTCTGATGGCATTTTAGCCAAAGGATTTTTATATCAAAAACAAATAAGGATTACTTGTATTAACCATACATGGAAACAGAGTTTTATGGGGTCCCCAGGAACTTGGGGCCCTAAGCAACTGCCTAGTACTGCCTGATGGTAAAGCCCCCCCGCCCACCCATGGGCCATTTCAGGTCCGTGTCCAAGTTAAAGTCCTGAACCTTTTGATTTGTGCCAAAGTCACAACATTTAGTCTCTTTCTTTATTATTCCCCCCCATTATGGGCAACACACCATTACCTTCAGTGGTGAACCAGGCCCTCAGTATAATTCTACCACCACCATGCTTTACAGTTTGTGCAGAGTTGAAGCGTCTGTAAGCTTCAATCAAACATATGTTTTTGTTGATTTTATGAAATAACTCAGTCTTTGTCTTATTTAACGCTTTTCCAGCAGACATAAGAGGAGAGCCCTCTATGTTCATGTTGTTTCAGTGACAGTAGTCATGCTATGTGTTTCCAGCTTATGGCAGGAATCAGGGTTGCTACCTTGTTAGCAAACAGTCTAATAAATGTCCTTCAGTCAGATGTTGAGAGGTTGGAGTAGATGGTTTAACCTTCAGCAAAGAGAAGGTTTTTCAACAGGACAATAATCCCAAGCACAAATAAAAACAGATTCTTTTTAGGCTAATATTTTGTTTCCATGTTAGTCCACCTAAAAAAAAAAGTGACCTTCATGCTGTTAAAAATGTGTGAACGATGCTTAACGTCTAGGTCTATGCAAAGAAACGATCCAGTTAGTTTAAAGATAAAGTTTAGTTACTTTTAAGAAATGTTTAATTCCTTAACATCAGTAGAAAACCACTGAGAGTTAATTGTGTGTTTTTGGCGCCCCCTTCAGCTTTACTTGAGGCCTGCATGGAGAGGAGGAGCCTGGTTCAATCCCTGAGCAGCCTGCTCCCTGTCAGAATGGCCTCCGCCCTGATGCTCCCCTACACCCTCCCTCTGGAGTCGGCCCTGTCCATGACCCTCAGGTACGGCGGGACTTCCTCACCCCAACGGGGAGGGAGGGAGGAAGGAAG